CTCCTCTTCCATATCATCCCACCAAAGAGAATCAGCATAACTGCATGATGCTGCCCACAAGTGAACTTTTTCCTCAGGAGAGTATCAGGTAGAAAATAGCACTTGAAATTCATCCCAAGTTAAATTAAATGCTATAATCAAAGCCTGAAATCCATCAGTGCATTTCTGGGGAGTTCTCTGAAAACCATCCCAATTCCTGTTTATATTGGGCCAAAGTATTCCTGGAGAAGGAGACATGTATGCTCATACTATCATGTTCCCTTCTTAAATGTCTCAAAGGGGACACAGACACATGGTAGAATATTTTGAGATAGTGGTAAGAGGAACTAATGGTTACCCAATCAAAGCCAGGTTCTTCTAGTAATGAGGGATGGAGGTTGACATGGTAGCATTGTGGAGGCAGAAGTCAAGGGAGAAGATGGGTCGCAGAGCTTACTTACCTGGTCCAGAGCTTTCTCTAGGCTTCTCTAGATTCACTGTTGGCTTTGGTACTGGGACAACAGGCATCTGGGGAACTCTACTTACAACACGTAGGAGCTTGTCCTCTATGGGGTCTGATGCTGCCTTCATTAGTTCTAATGGAACATGGGCACAACAGATGGTACAAGACCCATATAATTTCAGATCTTCATAAAGGGCTACAAAAATGCTGGACATATGGAACTTCTGTCATTTTTTTCTTTTTTCAGAAACCAGGTTGAGGGATTGTGTTAAAATTTGATTCTATTTTGAGGCCATGTCTAATTTATATTGAGTTCAACCTAAGTTGCAAAGAAAAAAAATCAAGTTTTTTCTTTAAATTCTTCATTTTATAATGGTTTCAGTTTTGTAAAATACAAACTAAAGTTATACCTTGGGGATATGTGTTGAGTTCACCCAAAATTTTATAAGTTCCATGTCTTCATCATCTTCCTTGTGTGCTTGTAAAAAATAGAAAAGAAGAAAAGATAAGATGCTGTTAGATCTTCCACTTAGGACTGGATAAGGTATTTGTTCTCCTGGTAGACATCACAGGCCCATTTTTTTTTCTTGATATCTAATAATGTTTGTTAATCACACCCAATTTTCTAAAGGTCAGGCAACAGGCACATCCCAATTTTCTATCATGGCTGCAGTCTGAGTCATTCAGCCAAGCATGCAGAAGTGTTTGCTTCCAGGCATTCCTGAAGCTTTCAAAACTACATAAATGAGTTTATATCTTCCACATTAATCAGAAAAGTAGGGGGGAAATGTCTCACACATTGCTCAAGAGGTCACTTCCAAGACTTTAATATCTGGGGCCGGCAATTTATGTTTTGACTCATAGAGTGTTAAATTCTGGAGATGCTGTTTTGTTCATTGTAGCTGGAGATCACATGCTGGTTTAGGTAAGGTGGTAAATAGGAAGTTCAGATTATGACAAGAAACAAAAAAGCAAATTCACTTAAAAACAAAGAAACAAAAACCCAGCCCAGTGGGAACACAGAAGAGTGTTGTGAGGGGCTGCAGTAGCAGCTTTAGGACTCACAATTTCTCACTCACCCGTGGTGTGGAACTATTCCTGAGACACAGTGTGATGAATCTGGGCTCAGCAGGATGGATATCGAAGGAGGCTGCCTGTTTAATCATGCACACTTTTTGCATGGGTGTGTGGGAAATTTTCTTCAGACACTGGGTAAACAGTCCCTGTCTCTCGGTGAGTAAGTGTTAGTTCCGTTGACCCATGTGATACGTTGACCTGACGGGGTTTCTGATGGGGCCATTGGATCTCCTGAGGTGTGTTCCCTGACATGTCTTTTAATTTCTGGTAAGTGCTTTGCATCTGTGGTATTTTTGAACATAAGCACTCATGTTCTCAGGACTTAGGAACTTCTGACTACTGAACATAGAAGCAAAAGCTGCCTAGGCTTACAGAGAGGAGAGAGACTGTGGATGGTAAAGGGGGGGG